AACTTTCCTAAGCAGGTCTACAAATAATTAGAGTGAAAAAAATACCTTTATCGTAATTCATGCATGCAAAATAAAATCAGAAAACATCACGACGACTACTACTGTTACTGGTGCTACTACTATTACCAGGAAAATAAAATTTCAAAGCAGTTTTTAAAAATATACAACACAAAGCCTTAAGGCTTAAATATTGAAAACAACAGGATTGATATTCTAAGATAGATGACAATGATGAGGTCCAGATTTGAGCCATTTGAAACTGTCTGGGGTGAAATGATAAAAAAAAAAATCAAGAACTTACATTGGGAACAAAACCCTGCATACAGATAGAAAATGAAATTGAATAAATACATAAAAATGGATAGGGAGTGTAAGACAAGGATGTGTCTTCTCGCCAGACTTATTTAATATTTACAGTGAGGTGATCCAAACAGAACGAGAAGTCCTGTTAGGATTTGTTATCGGCAGATACAACTTTAACAACCTAAGATATGCAGATGACACAATGCTGATAGCAGACACAAGGAAAATGTAGGAATACCTAGAAAAGGTATTGGAATTAAAGATGTCAAAATCAAGCAGGTACAAAAATTTAAATAGTTGGGAAGTGAACACAAGATGGAAAAATGTTATACCAAAAATCTGAAGGTACATTTAAATAGGAAAAGATGCCTTCAAAAAGCTAAGCAAAGTAGGAAACAGGAATATTTCATTAGAAACAAAGAAAGGAGTTCTCAAGTATTATTATGCAATATCAGTTCTCCTATACAGGCTGTGAATGCTGGACAATTTCCTCACAGATGAAAAGGAGACTTGAGGCAATAGAGTTCTATGGAAGGATGCTGAGAATACCATGGACATAACCATGGACATAACCATGGACATAACATGTAGATAATGAGGAAATTTTAAAGAAAATGGAAACAAAAAGGATGCTTATACTAAGGATCAGAAAGAGTTTAAATTTCTTAAGCACATAATGAGGAAAGAAAGCTTGGAAAATTTGATACTCACAGGACATATTGAAGGCATGAGAGACAAGGGGAAGCACTAAGTAACCTACCAAAGGAGCTTGTGTAAATGGATAGCAGAATGGGGAGGGAGGATAGTAAGACAAATTTAACAATGAAGGATGGGAGCTTGGGGAGACCTATGATCGTCCACGTCCTGAGGGGATAGAAGACTTTGGCATTGGAACCTAATTGGGAACAACAGTTTCAAATGGCTTAAATCTGGACCTCATCATTGTCATCTATCTCAGAATATCAATCCTGTTGTTTTCAATATTTAAGCCTTAAGGCCTTGTGTTGTATATTTTTAAAAACTGCTTTGAAATTTTATTTTACTAGTAATAGTAGTAGCGGCAGTAACAGTAGTAGTCGTTGATGGTTCCTGATTTTATTTTTTTGCATGCATGAATTACGATAAAGGTATTTTTTCACTCTAATTATTTGTAGACCTACTTCTGCTTGGGAAAGTTTCTATTAATAACAATATGAGTTTTTTTTTATTTACTGCTTTTTTGTTTTGTTTATTTTTGTTTTAAAGAAAAAAGTTATTTCTTTGGTTGATCTTTCAGTTTCTAGTTAAAGATCTCAATTTTTTTCCCACTTTAGTTCGAATATGACGGTGGTAATTATAGATATTTCAGAAGTTTATCAGTTTGGCACAAGGTTTAAAAAAATATGTGGAAATGAGAGCAAAATTGTACTTATTATTGCATCAATCCTAAATGGCCAAGGACCTACCAGCCTTGCAAATAAGCCTTTTAAGCACGTGTCTGAAAAACTATGTTTGAGATATTAATTGAATTTTATTTTACATCCAGATGTCCGGTCAAAATTTTTGACAGGTGTAGCTTGAAACCAGTTGGTTGCCCATTGTTCAAAACTGGATCCCGCGCGAGGTTAAGAAACTCTATACTTGTCAAATACATACATTGTAAAATGAAAATGTAATATACACGAATACACCCCATACCATATGGCCGGTTTTAGAATAGCAATGTATTTTTTTTTTTCGTAATTTAGAGTTAGTATTTGTTTACATTTTGAAAAAAATTCCTGTGTGATAATTAGAGAACAGCGTAAAAATTTATTCATCTGAAAAATTTACGGCGTGAAGCAGGGGCCCCGAACTCTTTTTAAGAGTAAGACTAGCTCTGATTTTATTTTCTATTCATGAAAGAAATATTATTTTTTTTCTTTTCAATAGTTACGTACAAAAAAGTAAATTTAAAAACCCTGTATGACCAAATCAAACAAGAAATTGCTATCTGGTTTCCGTTTAAAACATTATTTTTAAATTTAAAAAATCTACTTGGGGGGAGAGGGTTTGTGTTTTTTGTGTAAATAAATCTAACCTGTTGAAAGTGAGGAAAAGGTCGTTTTTTTAATAGCTTTACCAAACAAGGTAAAAAGAGAAAAATGTTCTTTGTTAATGTTACAATTGTGCTATAAATGAAAATAATTAGCATTTATTAACAGATAAAAAAAAAATAATTCAATAAAAATTATATAGCGTAACTTTTGGTTTGAATCAAATTATTTATTTTATTCAGTGACTTTTTCAGTAAATTTAAGATTAAAACAAAATTAAAGTATACAGCATTTCTTAGAATATCTTAAAATTAGTCTCTAGAATTAGATTTTTTTACAAAAATTACGATACGCTAACACCAAAATACCCTAGTTTAAAATACTCGTAAAATTATAAGGAAAAAGAAATAAAGCAAAAAAAAAAAAAAGACATTTTCACAAAACTTAAACTAAAAAAAATTAATTCTTAGATACGAGGATAGATAAAAATTTTAATTATTGGGTAGGACTTTTCCAGGTTTGTAACATTAACAAACAGGAAATAATAATGTAAGTCGTGATTTAAGTTTTTTTAACTAAAATTTTGACAATAAAAACAAATTTAAAAAAAACAGACAGCATTATGTTGCAAAGGGTGTTTTTTTTTTTTTTTTACAAACATTTAAATTTCAGTTTTCGGGCACTAGAGAGAAAAAATACTGTTTTTATCGTTTCATCGATCGATATAGACTAGAGAGAGACAGAGTCTCAGTAGCTATTTTTAGTCATTGTACATTTACAAAGGAGAAATTGAAATATATAATAAATAAATTATGAAGTTTTAAAAGTTTATTTAAAAATAAACCAAAACAGAATCTTGACTAAAAAAAACTAAACCAAAATGATATCATCATAAATCTGTGTTTTTTTAAAAATCACTCATCATCATTTATGAGTAATTTTTGCTTTCCGAATCAGGTTTATTAAATAAAAAAAATAAAATAAAATTAAGGCTCTAAAAAGCCAAGGGTATCTTTTTGTGATAAAGACCGATTTAAAGCACATTTTAAAAAACATGCTTGTTTTAAATTTGTTCTATAAATCGAAAAAAAAAATATAAATAAACTGAGAAGCAGTTTTTTTATTTAATTTTTAATTACAAAATGTAAATTGTAAAAAAAAAAAAAAAGGATTGTTTTTTTTTACGCTTTTGCATTCAACATTTTACTTACGTTGCATTATGTAACTTTTTCCTAGTCAAAATGTGACTTTTTCTGCATGCATCTTTGTGTTTAAACTTTTTGTTGCCATAAAAAACAGTTAAAAATTATATCTTGGATTTAAAAAGAAAAGCTAAGATTTCAGAAAGAAAATATTTTCAGTTTGAACGTAATATAAGCATCTTTTCTTTTAGAATTGGTAAAATTAAACCTTTTCTTGTTCTTTGATTCAATTTATTAGGGAGGCATAGAGAAAAACCTTTGAATCAAAAAACAATTAAGCAAGGTTGAGGTATGGAAAGAGTTCATTGTTGGTAAACAAAAAAAGATTAAAAACCAAAGCAATAGTAATAAATAAAGTAATGTCTATTTAATCGTTTTCAATTAAGTGGTTCAGTCTTCAGCTACATTAAATCATTACAACATACATTTCCTACTGTTTTAAATGCTAGATAAGAGAGACTTAAGTTTAAAGAGCATTTGCTCTTTGATCTCTAAAGAAATGTCAAGGTTGCAGTGAAAAAAACAATTGTAAAAGTTAAAACTGATTTAAAAAAATTTTTTTATCAAATTTATTAATTTTTCTTAAATCTGGTTTTAAAAGGCATGAAGTTAAAAAGCATTAGCAATAAAGAACGTTAATGTTAAATCCTGAAATTGAAATAATTTTAAAATGTACGAAAATTCAAGTTATTTTCAGTTTGTCTTTTCCGTGAAAAAAATTCAATTCAAAACCAAATGAAAAATGCTTTCTGAAGAAATCTAGGCCACTAACTTCATTTTTTTAAAAAAGCCTTTAGTCTAAATCTAAAAATATGAAAATTCATGTTCAGTCTGAGACAATTTTTATTTGTTCTCTAAATTCCTTCAATTTCGCTTTTAGAAAGCACGCTCAAATTAAATTACACACATTGTCACACATGTCGAGTCGAGTTCCTGATCTGGTCATTTGAATTTGAATATTTTGTTTGCTGTTTCAAAAACTCAACAACACAGAAGTGAAATGAAAACAATCTGTCTTCCCAACAACAATGATCACTAATCAGTTTTTTTAACTACACTGACAACAACACTATCTCATTTTTACTAGATTAAAAAATGTACATAAAAAGATAATGTGGCAAAGAATGTGTTTACCTCTAAAAGTAGAATAAACTACATTAGTCATGGTAATTTAACAAGGTCAGAAAAATATTTAATTTTTTTCATAATTTGTTCATTCATACAATAAGATCCACTTGTAAGTTATATTGTAAAGAAAGACAGGAGAAAAATAATAAACGTGATTCAAGTCTAGTCATTTTCAAAAAGTTGAAACTATCAGAAAGATAATGCTTAGCTTAAGTTAAGAATTACGTGACATTATGAAAGAAAGCTGAGAAAAGTACAGCATTACTCATCAACTGCCTTGAGTATTTATGGCAAATTCTGGGATAGGATTCAATCACTTTCAAAATCCTAAATAAATAAACATGTTACTGACCTGTATAATGTATTTGGAATTTGGAGAAGCATTTTTTTCATCTCTAACGCTACTTTCTGTAATTGTGGCTCCTTTTATTTCCCCGGGTTTTTTTCCAACATGAGTTTTGCAATATACCTCATCATCTGTGTTTCCATTATTGTGGTTTTTGCTGTTAGGGTGACAGAAAAAGGTTTGTTGTGTGAGAGGCATGCCACAGATTCGACATCGGAAGCATTGTTTGTGGAAAAGCTTATTAGATCCGACAAGAATCCTTTTATCATCCGCAGGTGGAACAGTTTTGTTGCACCTGAGACATGGATCAACTTTATCGGGTTCGGCTTGTCGTTCAAACTTGTATTCATAGAGGGTAGCTCGTTCATAAGCAAAACTATATTTGAAAGACGGTTTGCCCGCATTGCTACTGGTTTCCTCGACTTCTGATGAGTTGCTACCAACATTCGATGATTGTACACTCATGATTATTAAAAGAACGAATACTTTAAAAGTTTATACAGACGTACATATGCCGGTAAATGTGTTATCAATTGATGATACACAAATTTAAAACTTCCGGAGACTTGAAGTTGCTTTAAATGAAACATTCAGTGTGCGTGTGTTGCTTTAGTCTCCCTTTGTTTCAAAGTTGATCTTTGCTACATTCTCGTTTGGTTCGAAATAAAATCCACTGTGATTATGATTACAATTACATTTAGCAGGCGAAGGACCAAGCAAGCATTAGTCAAGTGAATAGCTAGGTAGGTATGTGAGTAAGTGTCGATAGCTACTTAAAGTTTGCTAGAAAAAGTTGTTGTATTTTTAGTGTGCCTAACTCATGTGACCTACTTAAAAGCATACCTGAATGACGCTATATATGTGAATATATATTTAAAAAAAAAAAGAAAGAAAAAAAAAAAAAACATCTGCAGCCGCAATCCGGATTTTATTGATATATCAGTCAGGAAAATGGATTGCTGCTTTTTAACGACGACCGACATATCACCTGTGTGTGTTTGTTTTACTTTCACAGTTTTTACCCGAAATGAGATTTATGACTTTTTTTTAATGAGAAAAACAAAAAATATGTAGTGAAACATGAAACATTCTGAAATATCGAGTTTGTAAACATATTCAATTTATTTATTAAAAAAAAAAAACGAAGAGCTACCCAGGAGCTTGTTTTTGAATTTTGCTTCAACATTTATTTCAATTTCATACTTTTAAACCGTTTTAAAACGGTTACAAACAACGTTACTGATAATATTGGGGGCAAAGAGCGAAATAAAAGTAAAAAAAACTAAAAAAAAAGCAAACTATCAAACAAGTTTCTCAGCCATTTATTTTAATTGAGTTATATATCGAAGTTTCTTATCGAAAACATTTTTCCATAATTAATTTTATTATTTTTATATTACTCTTTTAATCGCAGCGCTAAGGCCGTTTTAGTTTAGTTTTTTTTTTTTTTTAGTCAGACCCGAATGGTTCGTTCGGCTTCAGGTTTATTTAAAAGAGTTTTTTCGATATTAACTATATTGAACAAGACAAAACCTTTTGTTGATTTCACTCAGCTATCTTCAGAATTCCATCCTAGATCATTTTTTAAATTATCTTTCTGAGTAAAGAGATCTGTTCTAGGTACTTTTTTCGGTTTACCAGTGCACTGATATTTGTTGAAATTGTGTTTCTGTTCTATCAGTTCTTTAAAGATCAGAACATCTTAACCCGATGATGCGATATTTGCTAGTTAATCAGTAATATTTCCCCTGCTTGTCACTAAGGAAAGAAAACATGCAGTCAATTGAACGTGGTGCACTTTTAATTCCGAATGCCTTTCGCTGATTCCTGTCTTTCAATTTGTTTACTTTAATTAATAATTTAACCTGGAAGCAGTACTTATTCCAGACAATCGTTTGATTACTTGGAAGGACCTCAGAAGAGAGGATTCACTTTTAATCCCACGACATCTCATTTTTTTCAAAAATGTTCTGCAATGAAGTTCAACCTGCACTAGACCCACTCCAGGTAGTGTTACACTACAGAGTAAAAGGCACAGTTTAGGAATATGTGACCCTTGACTTAAACAGGTTTAAGATTGTAGAGATTAAGGAAGTATCCTTTAGGAGTTGGTTCCACAAAGCATTGGTTTGTGGGAAACTGCTCGATTGGAATTTATATCTCATCAATAATTGTATACGAATAAGGGTAGTTCGCTACAATGTGCAATGAAGGTTAAAAATGGTGGAACGAAGGAATGTGGTTCGTTTGAATACTTTCCATGGAAATAGCGATAGAGCAGTGAAAGGCATGAGGTATTTTATCTGTGAAAAGGGATTGTAAGGAGGGAAATAATTCATCGCCCACAAGGACGCGGAGATGCTTTTAGACTCTATGAAGACTGGAAAGTGAAGACTGGGCAGATCCTGTCCATATATAGCAACAATACATTGTAACCCGGATATAAGAGAAACCCGGATATAAGAGAGATTTTATCTGGTCCCAAATTAGAGCCCATACTTACCTAAACAAAATAGACCAAACCCGGATATAAGAGACTTCTTCTCCGGTCCCGACAACTCTCTTATATCCGGGTTACACTGTACTTCATTTTCGGCCTGATTTGATTCTTGTAAAGTCAGAGGGTAACAGGAGGAATAAGGTCTTTGCTGGAGCAATGCATGAAACCGACCATTTTTTCCAGCATCTTTAATGATGGATCTTATGTACCAGTTCCACTTGAGGTTTGGGTTGAGTTTGATTAAGTCCCAATAGGCGCTCAAGGCACGGGGCCTCCCTGAGGGAACACCTGTTCGTCTTGATCTGTTAAAGTGTCGGAGTTAACTCCGACTCAATTTACTAATTGTCCAAATTGTTCCTAGGGGACGTTCTCCCTAAATTATAATACTTGACGATTTCTTCTATCACCCTCTTTTTCATTTTGCATTTTCATCAGACACTACGACAATGTAGGTTCTCGCAGAAGATTACGTTTTCCCCTTTGTGGGGCGCTATGCGTTTCCTTGGGAAGACGCCATGAACATTATGCGCGCGCGCACACACACACACACACACACACGTACGTACTAACATACACACTAATTATGTCTATTGTAAATCCTTTTGTTCAATACACATATTTGTTTGTACATGTATATCGATTTCTTGTTGTTTTTCTGTTACATTTTCTTTTGGTTGAACTCATCTCTCGTCCGCCATATTTTTGTAGTGGGCTTTTTATTTCAGGAGTTCCACACATGTCCGCTACAAAAGTTCTGGGTTTCCTCAGTGATGACGGTACGTCACTAGTTTGATTTTCGAGGAATTGAATGTGACCAGCCAATATTTCTCCAACTGAGCTGTTAAAGCAAGATCAGAAGAGAGATCAACAGCCAATCTCTGGTTACCAAGTTTTCGAGGTGCACTCATTATTGTATCATCAGCAAAGATATTATTCACAATTGATCGGAGTATACTCTTTAGGCAGATTATTTAAAGTAGAAAGAGAATGAAAAACGGCTTTTGTTTTGATTAGTTTTTCTTTCCTGATTCATTTCGCTTGTCATACATTTCACATTGTGGTAAAGAATCGAATTTTCATCGCCTGTCGCAGCTTGTTAAGAAAAAAAATTAAATATGGCCTAGCAGTTTTTGTCTCTTTAACTGTGGAAGTCAGACGGGACTAAGAGTAAGAAGCATAAAGAAAATTAGTGCAAATGGGTTTCTCAGTGTAGCTAAGATCTGGATATTTATAATTTGTAGGCTATTTCTCACATTGTATAACGCTATTTTCAAGTAATGACTTTATTTGATCAGTATCAATCTACTACTAGCTAGTCTATCATGGAACTTTTTTTTAGTTTGAATCTTTGTATCAAACTCACTTTTGGACGTTTCGATCATTCACAATAAACTTTTCCCTAGAAATTGCACAATGCGCATCATTTATTTTGTAAATTTGAATTTTTCTCATTTATTTCATAAAGAATATAATTGTGTCACAAGGCCGAAGAAAATAAAAATAAGCAAAAATTGCTGCTTATTTTTATTTTATTTCATCTTCAACGTTAAATACGCCAGTTTTGACAAAATTTAAAAAAATGCATTGTAACAATACAAGAAAAGGCGATCTTTTAAAAATAGATTCAATTCAATTAATATAGCGTGCAGAAAATCAGACAGCTAATAAAATAAATTAACATAGCTAGTTATGTAACTAAATAAATTTGAATTTCACCTGTTGATGCGTCACAGCAAGCGAATTGGTTATATAGTCAATGTTGCTCAGAAAAGCACTTAAGGATTAATGATTTTTTTTTTTTTTTACTTGGCTTGGCTTGCTTAGTTTCCCTTTTTCAGCAAAAAGTAAAATAAGTAACAGTTCATGGTTTCAAAACTAAATATGTCATGTTTATTTAAGAGAAAAAATAAACTGGAAATCGACCGCACGTCAGTTACACCGACGGTTAAGAATAAAAATCGTGCAACAGCACCTTCCACCCTTTTAGTTTTCACCAATACAAATAAAACCTCATTTTTTTAAATTGTGTATTGCATTGACATATTTTTGTGTTTCTCTTCATAGAAATAGACTAGAGGGGGAAGTAAATAAAAAAGTGTATCTGCTGATTTTAAATTGTCTCTGGAGTCATTCAAGTAAAAAAAATAATTTACTTGAAAATTCTTAACGAAATTTACTGTAAATTTTCGTTAAGAATTTTTTATTGTGTTACAATTACTTACTTTATGAACTTCAGTAATTACTAAAGAAAAATTGACTACACCAGAATAAAATTCCACAAAAGGTGCGACAATCAGTTAAAATAAATATTCGAGTTTTGTCTAAAAAAGAAATATCCAAATTTTGTGAATTTGAGACTAAAAGTTTAAAACTTACAAAATTAACATTATTTAGACTTTGATAATCAACAATCAATAAATGATTTTTAATTTATTGTTTTTAAATTTAAAAAGTTATTTTTTGAAATTTTAATGTTTATTTATTTATTCTAGCGATGCTGTTACCTAGCAACAATTAAATTTGAAAACCAAAATAATCAAATTATTTATTTTAATTTATTTTATCACGTTAGATTTTAAAATTATTACCGAGTAAGGAAAATGGAACTAATTAACTTTAAGAAGTTAAATTTATTGGTCCGTCCGTTAAAAAAAAAAAAAAAAAAAAAAAGTAGGGAAATATTTTGAGGGGGGAATAAATTTTGTGTATTTTTACTAGCATTCATCATTAAGACCTTAAGGTCCTTATTACTAAGGGCCAAGGCGCGATGTTTGTCCGAATAAAACAATAAATACTGATGTTTTTTCTTCTTTTTTTTATCATTTTAAAAAGAGGATTTTTTTGTTTAAGGCTTTTTCAATTCAATTCAACCCCGATTTTTTAAAAGAATTATCTGTACTGTACTTTATTTTTATTTTACAAATATAAACTTTTTAAACTTTCCTTTCATTATAATTACGTACAT